TGGGGGAACGGGGACAAGGACATGGGGCGCGGGAACAGGGTGTGGGGCACAGGGACAAGGACGCGGGGCATGGGGACAAGGACACGGGGCACGGGGACAAGGACATGGGGCACGGGAACAGGGTGTGGGGCACGGGGACAAGGACATGGGGCATGGGGACAAGGACATGGGGCACGGGGACAAGGACACCGGGCAAGGGACAGGGTGTGGGGCACGCAGGGTGCCGAGGATGGGGGTGCTGGGCATGGGGACAGGGTGCCCGGCATGCGAGGACAGAGGCACTGGCCTTGGGGACAAGGTGTCAGGAGAGCAGAGCAGGGGTGCTGGCCTTGGGGACAGGGTGCCAGGCACACGGGATGCTGGGAACAGGTGCCGGGATCTGGGAATGCCGGGCATGGAGATGGGCTGCCAGGCCCACAGGGTGCTGGGGACAGTGCCAGGGTGCCAGGCGTGGGGACAGAGTGCCAGACACACAGGGTGCAAAGGATGGGGACACTGGATATGGGGACAGAGTGCCAGGCATGCGCGGTGCCAGGGATAGGGATGCTGGTCGTGGGGGTAGGATCCCAGGGGATAAGGATGGGGATGCTGGACATGGGAACAGCGTACCAGGTGTGCAGGGTGGGAGGGATGGGGACACTGCACATGGGGACGGGACGCTGGGTGCCAGGGATGGGGATGCTGGGCATGGGAATGGGAAGCTGGGTACCAAGGATGGGGATGCTGGGCATGGGAATGGGAAGCTGGGGATCTGGGGATGGAGATATCGGGCAGGGGCACGGGATGCGGAGTGCCAGGGATGGGGATGCTGGACATGGGAATGGGAAGCTGGGGATCTGGGGATGGAGATATCGGGCAGGGGCACGGGATGCGGAGTGCCAGGGATGGGGATGCTGGACATGGGAACAGGGTGCCAAGGATGGGGGATGCTGGGCATGGAGACAGGATGCGGAGTGCCAGGGATTGGGAATGCTGGGGACAGGGACAGGATGAAGGGTGCCAGGGATGAGGATGCTGGGCATGGGGATGAGATACTGAGTGCCAGGAATGGGGATACTGGGCACGGAGACAGGATGCTGGGTACCAGGGATGGGAATGCCAGGTACAGGGATGGGATGCAGAGTGCCACGAATGGGGATGCTGGGCACAGGGACAGGATGCAGAGTGCCAGAGATGGGGATGCTAGACATGGGAATGGGATGCTGGGTACCAGGGATGGTGGTGCCGGGCACAGGGACGGGATGCAGAGGGCCAAGGATGCGGATGCTGGGTACAGGGACGGGATGCTGGGGACCGGGGATGGGAATGCTGGGTACAGGGATGGGATGCAGAGCGCCAGGAATAGGGATGCTGGGCACAGGGATGGGATGCAGAGTGCCAGGGATGGGGATGCTAGACATGGGAATGGGATGCAGAGTGCCAGGGATGGGGATGC